CGGAGGGAAGGGGCGGCGGCGGCTTGGGCTCGGGCGGCCCGCCTGCCTGCCTGCCTGCCTGCCTTCGGACCCGAGCGGTTGTCTTGCTGCCGCCTCGCCTTACATAACCCGGGACACACACTCTCTCTCTCTCTGCTCGCCTTCGCTGGTCCGACCCACTTCGGACAGGCATCTCCGGCGGGCCCCTTGCCTGACTTTTGCAAACCTCCCCTTTCCCCCTTTGCTTGCCAGGCCGCTTACCCTTTCTTATTTTTTTATTTTGAGAACTGGGTCCAGAAACTATGAAGTCAGCCTTGAACATCCCCTTACAAGCAGAGCAGGGGCTTCCAACTTTTCCTCGGGTCCCATTAAGATCTTCCTGCTGACATGTTTTGGTTGTCAGGGCTATCCCAGGGAGGCTTGAAATGTGTCCCTCCCATATAACTGAAATGTTTTGGTTTTTAAAAAAGTTCTTCAGGTCCTCGGCTTTCACCTTTCCAAGCTATATTCGTTATAGAACTATTGAGGGTGGGGGGGTGTAGATTGGTCCCCATCTGTTTTCTTGTTATAACTGTCTTCACCTCTTTTTTCTCAAGTAGAGGGAATGGGAGACGTTGCTTTTTCTCTGGTTTCCTCTGCTTGTTTTAAGACGAGTTTGCCCTAGTTTTGCAAATGGCTCGCAGCCTGATGGATGGGTTCCTGCTGCCACAAGTTCATTGTTGTTGAAAAATGGACCAGACACAGTGCCGTTTTTGAGCACCACTTCTGTAATTGCTTTTGGTTTCAGTTGTGGCCAAATATTCTTGGATATATTGCATGCTTCTAAGTTTCTGGCTGGCTACTGTGGGAACTACACTGCGCTAAATAGACCTTTTCTCTGATCTTGGTCCAGGGCTTTTTTAGATGTTCTGTTATATAAAATTACTACAAAAATCACTTGTGGAGATTGTTAAGTGATATAACTTGTGTTTTCATTTTTCCTGTAGGACTACAGTTCTGTTCGCTTGTGGATTCGTTTGAAACGTAAAGACTTGGAGTGAGATGTGCTGAATTCTTCTCACCTGTGTGCTACACTTGTTCAGCAGCTGTTTGAGGGATTTATTGGAAAACATGAATCATCCAATAGCAGGAAATGTCCTTTTTTAGAACTAAAAGTGCTAAATATTGATGTCTGAAAAACAAACAGCAACTTGGGGCAGAAAACGTGTATGCTATGGTTAGCTGGTCCCCTTTCTCCGATCATCTGTTTTTCCATTGTGTGGAACTCCTTCAGCATAGGGATAAGGGATAACGACTCTATGGATATACAGAATTTTTCACCATGGTAAAACTCGCTAACCCGCTGTACACTGAGTGGATTTTGGAGGCAATAAAAAAGGTCAAGAAGCAAAAACAGCGCCCTTCAGAAGAGAGGATATGCAATGCCGTGTCTTCGTCCCATGGTTTGGACCGCAAAACTGTTCTGGAACAGTTGGAACTGAGTGTCAAAGATGGAACCATTCTAAAAGTTTCCAATAAAGGACTTAATTCCTATAAGGATCCTGATAACCCTGGGCGAATAGCACTTCCCAAGCCACGAAACCATGGCAAGTTGGATGGCAAACCGAACGTGGACTGGAATAAACTGATTAAACGGGCAATTGAGGGCTTGGCAGAGTCCAGTGGCTCATCGTTGAAGAACATTGAACGTTTCTTGAAAGGGCAGAAGGATGTCTCAGCTGTGTTTGCAAGCAGCGCTCCTTCTGTCTTCCACCAGCAATTGCGGTTGGCTGTCAAGCGTGCTGTTGGCCATGGACGACTTCTTAAAGATGGGCCTCTGTACCAACTCAACACTAAAGCAGCCACAAATGCAGATGGGAAAGAGAGTTACGAGTCTCTTTCTTGTCTTCCTCCGGTATCGCTACTTCCACATGAAAAAGATAAGGTAAGAATCACATGCTCACCAAATCATGCTCTTGGTTGTTGAAGATCCAGTGCTTGAGATTATGTCTCCATGGTGCCATTTGTAGAAGAGTTGGTGTTGTGTGGTGACTTAAAGTCGAGCTGTCAGTGGGGAAGTTCATGTTTCAGCTCACCTGTAAATTCTAGATGGTTTTAGGCAAGATCTGTTTGTCTCCGCTTTCCATCTGGAATATTTTATGTTTTGTTTAATCTCTCACATATATGTTTTGCCCTTCCTCCAGTGAGCCTTCTTACATTACCTTCGGGACAACCTTGTGAGATGGCTCAGACTGAGGAAGTGGGACTAGCCTAAGTCCAACTAGTCAGCTATTTTATTTATTTATTTATTTATTTGATTTGTATCCCGCTCATCTGGTAGCTCGGTACCACTCGGTACCACTCTACATAGACAGGTGGGGATTTGAACCCAGGTTCCTCATTCAGCATTCTAACTCCCACACTATACCAACTGTTATACCTGTAGCAATACTTTTCTATTCTTTAGGGCTGTTGTAAGGATGACTGAGAGTGCCTACAAATGTTTACCATCCACAAGGTGGTCATAATACTGCTAAGCAGTACAGTACTATTAAAAGTGCATTGTGCATGTTCAGGGTATGTGGATTGTGGTTTCTGATCATTGGTTGTTTGTACCCTGTTTGAAGAGAAAGCTTCATGACTTGAAGAAATTTTCTTTTTAATATGAATGTTCTGTGCTCTCAGAAAAAACAGAAACGAGGTGAGGATTTTGAGGAGTCTGTATTTTAAAATAAGATTAGTAACTGTGATATGTTAACTGTGGAGCCATCTAGATAGTAAGTCTGTGAAACCTGCAGGATGTTGGTAACTTGTTTCTGCTAATTCTTCTGCTTAAGACTTTTTAGTCGCTATCAAGCTGTCTTGATCTGAATGGGCTTTCATCTGAGATTTCCACATCTAGCTTGTAGAGTAAGGCTTGTCTCTGTTTACTTTTACTAGGTCACTCTGTGCCTCAGTCTGTTCTGGTGGTTCTAGAGGTTTTCTGGAATAAGGGAAGGTAGATTTCTCCAGCCTGTTGGATAAAACTGAATTTGTATTGTCTTTTCTGTCAGCACTGGCAAACAGGAAACTTGAAGAGGTGTTTTAATTTCCTTGCTTTTTTGTTATTTTATTTTGCTTTGCAAGTTGAGGATTTCTGATGGGAGAGGAAGCACTCACAAGAAAGTGAAGGCAGATAGTGTACTATTCTTTCATACTTCCCTTTCCTATTTTAAATTGTGGCTGTAATAAGTGCAGAGCATGTATTAGTGTTCTTTCATTCAGTCTTGAAACACTACAGCTTCCTTGGAATAGGCACAGGAGAATACTGAGAGTGTGATATGATAGCTACTGCAGGGAGTTTTACGTGTTGGTATTTACTGAAGTCCTTAGATACTTAAGAAACCATAAATGTAATTCCTATAGACTTTGTAAGGCAAAGACTGGATGGACAGCGAAATTTCCAGTGGAGAGAGTTAGAATCCATGCTAAGCTGCTAGCTTGTTAGATGACAAGTAGTTGGCTCTTGGCCTGAGCTCACCTTCTATTGAGCAAGAATAACATTTGGCTGTTCATTTGGCAATGATGTGCACATTAGGAGCCATGGATATAACTTAAATATAGAAGGCTTAGTAAATAGGGTGAGAAACAGCTGGGGCTTGTGTGAATCCCTTATAAAGTTATAAACATAGGATACTGTCATTGTGTTAAGGCAGCTGGAAGAGCAAATAGTATTAAAAGCAGCCCCTCTTATCAGTTGCTTGAAACCCCTTCCTTTTGACTCCTTTTGAAAATCAGTGTCGGATGAGAACAGTAAAGATGTCAGGAAGCAAAAAGCTTTTTGATTTCTGTGGAGTGCCTTATGTTGGTTTTAAATGCATTTTCACCCAGTTTTTTTCCCCAAACGAAAATTACTGTCTGCTTACTTTCCAAAGTATTTTAACAATCCTTTCTTCTGAAAGGCTTGCCATAATTTGACTGTTTTCAGTGTTCTGTTTTCCTTCGTCTTGATATATAATCTGTTTGGCATATAAGAATAGCTGTATGGGTTCAGACCGAAGTCTCATCTAGTTCAGCATTCTGTTCTCATGCTAGCCTGCTAAATGCCCACAACTAGGATATGAGTACAAGAGATTGATGGTAGAGGACAGAAGGAGGTAACCTTGAACACTTCATATTTTTAGCTGACCATTGACTTAATTGCTAATGGGAGCTGAGGTCTGGCATCAAGAGGGCACCTGTTGTGGAACAAGACATTAGCATCTGAGATGGAGGAGGTGGGAGAGGGAGCACTCATAAGAAAGAGAAGGTAGACAGGGAATTTCCTCAAGGGTTAATCTTCCAGCAGTCTTATTTTTGATTGTCAGTGTTCTGCCTTGTGCACCCCTTTATATATTGATATTTCTTTTGTTCCTTCGTTTGTTTCTGTAGTGGCTTATTTTGAAGTTGCTAATTATGTGTGTTTGGCTTAATGTTTTCTGATAAACAAGGGGCTTGAGGGTTGAGAAAAGATGGCATATATGCAATGGTTCTGATTGGAGGGACCACTATTAAAGGTTTAAAATGAGCTGATTGGCCTGATTTTTAGGAAGGTGTCCAGCCACTGGTTGGAATTTTGTTCTGTTTGGAAAGGGAAAGATTCCACTGGAGTCCTGAAACCCCCCCCCCCCCCATTCCTTGGATCATTGCTGAATACTCAAGTGGAATGAGATGGCAAGGCTTCCACTTGGACATGAATCCTTGGCTGTATTGCAACATACCTAGCAGATCTGTGTTTTGGCTAATGCAGGAGTGAAATGTCAGAGGAAGGGAAGAAGTATTATGAGGATTTCGCTGGCACCTTTCCCATACCTTGCAGTCCACTCCCAGATGATACATGACTGCAGTAGAAAGCCATCTTACACTATAATAACATTCATCTTAAAATAAAGTAACATCCAGTAACTTTGTTCTGAGCTCACATGCTGAGAATTCGGTTTGAAGTGCATGCTGTCCTTCACATAATAGAATAACCAGATAATATGTGTTGTGTGTTCCAGTTATGGTGCAACAAGGGGATACTTTAAAAAAATGAAACAAAACAAAAAATGATTCCATTGGGTAACTGCAAGCATATAGCTAAGTCTTCGCATGTCATTTAGCCCAGCTTTATGCCTGAATCAGCCTTGTGAGTGCACCCACAAAATGTTTGCAGGGCTGATAAAAGTCTTAAATCTGCATCCTTGGGTAACATGGAAATCAAGGAGGCTAGTAAGTAGCTCAGGAACAGAGCAGTTCCTGTCAGCCAGCTCACTCATCTGCATATCATTCATAGTTTGTCTGTGGTAGGGATGTCGAATTTGTGGCACTCCAGATACTTACTATCGGCCAAGGTTGTTAGGGCTTATGAGTTGGAATCAAATGACATCTGAAAGAAACGCCAGAGATGTCTATGCCTTGGCCTGTGGCTTTCACGTGAGTTGCTAAATGCATTGCTCTAAGTAGGTGCTATGTTCTAAATTTTCAGGCAACAGAGAATGATAGATTTATGTGAACTGTACTGTACTTCTGAAACAGTTTTTTCATGGTTTCTGCTAGTTGTTTCTCAGCTTTAATAGTGCAACGTCAGGCTTAGAGTTTAGGTAAAATTATTTTGAAATCAAGCTTATATTGGGGAAAGAAGTATGCTTTTCAGGGCACCAAGTCCTCTCCTCAGAAGAGAGCTTTCTTAAAGTTTAAGCCATCAGTGATTGATGGGCTGAACATCTCACTCCCACTGGTAATTCTCACACTGTTTGTTCTGAACTGTAGCTTTCTGTGACTGGTTTTGCAGGTATCTCAGGTAAATTACCTCAGAGAATGATTGTGCTGATACACTGCAACACACTTAACATCCCAACTGAGCAATTTAAAATTACTTTCCTAGTCCTTTTGAGACAAGGACCAAACAGTTACCGTATTTTTCGCACCATAAGACGCACTTTTTCCCCACAAAACAGGGGGGTAGAAAGTCTGTGCGTCTTATGGAGTGAAAAATACGGTAAATATGGCTTCCCATAAGTACAATAGTGAGAAAAACATGTCAGTGATTCCATGACTTTCTGCTTATCTCTGCAATGTTGATAGACATTTCAAACATCAAATGGCATTTTAGGTGGCTTCCTTGTGTTGTTGAGCTTTTCCTGATGTCTTTACACTTATTTTGCCTCATTGCTGTGAACGCTTGAGCCATTCCTTTTCTTCTTAATCTGGCTGTGTTATCCATGATTTATTTAAAGGAAATTATGCTTTTTAAATAACTTGTATTTGAATTGAATTGAATTGAATTGCAAGGAACCAATTTTGCATAACTGTAGGTACATCTCTTATGTACAGTAATAGGAACATACTGTAATTTTTAGGAATTTGAAATTACAGGGTGAGGCTGAATGAGGGTGTGGCTTGTGCCAAATGGTATAGGTTAATGTAAAAAGCTTGCAGGCTATTGGTCCAAAACTGTATTTTGGGTGGGGATTTTTGTAGTTAACAACTCAGAGTTCTGTTTTTTTCTAAGCAAGATCTCACAGACATAATCTCATCTGCTATTTAAAAAAGTTATACATTGTTGAATCATTTAAAATATAACTTACTTTTTTTGATAGATACTGGATTTCTCTTGGATTCCTTGGAGGAAATTATTTTGTTGATTATTTTTTTCCAACCAAATACTTTTGACTACATTTTCATTATCCTCACCCATGTTGGCTGGGGCTGTTGGGCTTTGTAGTCCACAGTGTGTAGAACACTCCAGTTTTGGAAGGCTGCTGTGAAGATATGATGCTTTGGAAATTTCTGTAAATCTAGCTCCTTTTTCTCATAGTAAAGGATTTTCTTGGCATTCAAAGCTTTAAAACAAGTGTACAGTCTAGACAGATTGCAGACGGTTCTTATTATTCTGGCTAGCAGTTCTGTTCAGTGTATGCAGCTTTATTTATTATGCCAGTGCAT